GTCTGCTGCAATGGTAACAGGCTATAGCATATTTCTAATGGGGGTGGAATGGAGGAAAGAAGGTGTCGATTGGTTTACTCACGATGACTTACGCTAAGATTAAGACAAAAATATTCACCCCACACCCCTATTCGAAGTCACCTTTCCTCGTAACAATAGTATCCGCCACGACGCGAGACGGGTGTCTGGAGGAGTTCTCCTGAAGGCTACACTATACCTAACGAAAATCTAGCTCCAAAGTCCAGATAAATTCTATTTTACAGTTTTGGAACAATACTAGTTATAAGTGGTTAAAAACCGTATACTTTTGCTTTCATTGTATTTTAATCATACTAGTTGTAAATGGTTTCAAAACCTTAAAGGTAAAAAAAAAATTCTTCACCATAAACTTTACTGTGAATAGTTTAGACAGACTGCTGTCGGTTATTTTACCATAATTTTCGATTGAAAATTTTAATGGTGTAAGGTTTACATATAAAGTTACTTTCTACACTAAAGGCATATTACAATGTATTACACGAATGCATATGAAATTACTTTTTTTATATGTAACCGCGTAAAATACCATACTCGTGTATAAAATACCATAATTGTTTTTTATTATACGATATATTTCCGGCATTACAATGGTATATTCTACCCGCAAATGAAAATTTCAACTCTAAATTTTTTCTAGCTATTCAAAATTAAATGGAAATAAATAAATAATTAACTGATAAGCGAGTCTAACAGAATTTTTACATTATCTTTACAAACGCAACTTTTAACCTTTACATGAGATTCGTTTCTACTTTATCAAAACGAAATTTAGAAATAAAAAATAAAAGTATCAATAAATTCCTATTTTGTTAATACCCCTACGTTTTATGGAAATGCCCAATATTTCAGAGAAATAAGCTTAAAATATTTCGACAAAACAGTATTCGAAGAAACTTAAAAACTCCGAATAATTAATAAAATAAGTCTTTTTTTTAATTGCTAATTCTCCGGAGCTTTTCATCTCTCTTTTTAAATTTTGCAGCATTGCTAATTGTTTTGTCTAAACTTCTAGTTTCATATATCCATGCATTTCCAGAAATAAAATGCATAATATTTTGACTTTGGAAAAATTTATTAACTTTTCAATTATAGTTTCGAATATTTGTGCCATTTTAATAAACTCAGATCTTAAAATAAGACTTATATTTTATATTTGTAAACAATAATAATGCTCTCCTTTTATTGAAATAAAGATTAAGCAAGTTATACGTTGATTAAACAAATGCATTATGAAGATTTTGTGAATACATTCTTGCAGTTGAGAATACATTCTATACTAAGCTGAGATTAGTCAGAGGTTAAGGCAATGAAATGTCAATGTGAAGAACTGAAGTTCGATTCCCAGTAGAGGCTTGAAGCCCACCCCGCTTCAGATCAGTAAGAAACAGCACGTGTTGGAAGTAAATGTAGCCTGTATGCATTGCTGACACCATTGCTAGAGCCATATCTCCGATAGCGAAATGTTAGAGACTTAACCTACATACCCTCCTAACCCAAAGAAGGCTGTAGCAAGAATACTTTTACTGCTTCTCATTACTATACTATAAAATACTTTCAGAATAAAAATATTTCGAGTATTAAAAAATTGAAAAATATCAATAATCAGATTTTCTGCAAGCAAAATATAGCACTGAATTCATCTCCATGAACCAAATTTCTTAACAAAATATCTGGGATCAAATGTCTAAACGGGAAAATAAATATAGTGCAGAATTTATCTATCATACAGTACTTCTTAAGCTTAATTACATGATACTATAGCGCAATCAGAACGAAAAAATTCTCAATTAGGCATTTCTTTTAGGTTACAGCATAGCTGCGCTATATTAGGGTTAAAATACTACCGATGACGTTGAACCGAATTTTTTAACAGAATATTTCGAACAGAATGTCTAAACCAGAATGTAAATATAGTGCTGAATTCATCCACATTACCGTACCTTCTAAGCTTGAGCATACGATACTATAGCTCACCTAGAACGGAAAAACGGCTCTATCAAGCAATTTATGAAAGTTGCGAAAATTCTGCACCATATTATAGTTCGAATGATACCGATTACGTTGTTTTGAATTTTTTGACTGAATATCTGGGGCCTAATATTTAAACCATGTAAGTATAGAAATTTAATGAAAAAACTCTTTCAAGCTATTGGTAAATAAAATCTGTTCAAATGTAGGGCACTGGGCCCGTGTCCAAGTCATGGCGGGTTCCAACCCCGCCGGCCGAAGAATCCCCGTGTAATGAATGGTGACTGATGCAAGTTATACCTGTCGAATCGCAAAGTCCTCCTTGTTTACGTAATAAATCATACCTCTGGGGTACTTATCCAGGAGTTTCCTTGTCTTCAGGATTGTTTAAAAATTACAAGACTACTGAGTTGAACATTAATAGTCGTAAACCTGAAATTGGTTTGGCTGTCCAACGACTTTCATAAAGTAAAATATAAAATGAAATTATTTTTCTGAAAACAAATTTTTTAACGCTTTTTAAGTTACGTAGTACTTTTACATATCCTGTACATTTGCATCTTCCTTTGCGCATTATATATTTTTTTACATTTCTATCTATTATGCTATTATTCCGCTTTACATATTTTAAAATATGATTTTTTTTTACTTTGATCATTTATTATAAAACTCATTTTGAAAATCTTTCAAAATCAGCAAGGAATTTAACCTCAATTATTAAAAAGATGTGCAACAAATTAATGCTCCTCCAATCGAAATAAATGGACACAGTGCTAAAATAAATCACTAAAATGGAATTTTAAAAGTAAAAAAAAACTTGAAAATGAAATATTATCGAATTCCAATTTTTCACCAATAAACGCATTTTATTCTGCAGAAGAAAATCAATTCACCTTGCAATGGTTTTCTCCTTTTCCTCGTATTCTGTTCCATAATTCAACTATTTTAGTGCAAATTCAAACCTTTTAGAAGAATAATCAAGAACAAACGAACAAAACATTCCATTAAAATTTTTCCAATACAGTACATTATTACAAAAGAATATTTTAACGACTTTTTTCTGAAGAAATCTTCAAATCACTATAAAAATTGATCGCAAACAGTATTAAAAATTCCATCAAATATTGCATCCAGAGTTAAGTCTGTTATAAACTTTTATTATTCATATAACTTTTGAATATTTTATTAAGCCTTAGTTGTTCAATGAATATAATCAGATAATTGAAAAGGTGTAAAAGTAATTAAATTTAAAAGAACTGAGAAACTTTTCGATGATAAAATTTTAAAATTCTGCAAAACTTTACCGTTTGATTTTAACTTATTACCATAAAAGAAATAGTTAAATACTAGCTTTAGGAATGATAACTAATATAAGCAAATTTCATAAAGTATAAATTCGTAATCTGAAAATAGTTTATTTTTTTAATGCAATGCATTTTTATGAGTATCCTATTTAATAATGATTCGAAATTTCACCAATAAAAACTTTTTTGTAAAATCCAACACAGCATTCCACCAAATTACCAAATTTATTAATATACAATCTAATAAATTAATAAGAAAAATTTGGAAGAAAATGCGACTAATGAAGGAATAAACTATACGTGACATAAATTTTTCATATGAAATATCATTAAAATTTTAGCACGCTTTTTCAAACTTTATGATAGGAAAAATAAATAGCAGTTTTAAAGTACTATGAAAACGAATAAATATGTAACCAAAAAATAATATGTTTTCGACATAATAATGATAATTTTAATAGAAAATAATTCTGCTGAAACAATTGAAAAAAATACAATTTATCATTGCAATTTTATGTTGTTAGTTTGTTCGTATAGTATCAGATTTATATACATAAATTACAAAAAAAATATGTTAATAGTATTAGTGAAAGTGTAAATGATATAGAAATGATCAAAATGCTACTAAAATACAAAACATTATGTATAAAAAACTACGAAAGTTTTAATAAAATTCCTTATTTCTATTATAAGTTCTCTTAGCATTTAAGAAATAATTTATTAATAACTAGAGCAAAAGTAATGATAAAAAAACAATGATAAAATATATACAAACATTTTATGCGTAAAAGTGTAAATTATAAGTAATATGAGTACATTAAAATATTTTGTAAACATTCAATTTGATAATGATTAGAAATGAAATAGATTATTATATATAT